GGTGTACATTAAGGCAAAATGCTGCTTTCGAGGCTATCGAGGTTTGTTCATCGTCGAACATTTTTTGCCGAGAATTTTTCATCCTACAATCGAAGAAGTGAAGTTTTTCACGACGAACCTCTTGCCTCTTGTGAGAATCGTTAGGACATTTGGCTTTTCACTGCTGAAAGATGTTCATTACGTTTGAACGAAAAGTGTTCACTAGCTTATATGAAAATGTCTGTTGTTGAATTTGACTCACATTTATTAAAATTCAGTCTTCAAGCTGAATGCATCTTGAAGTTCAAAAGAACTTGTTTCTAAAAATTAACGTTACCTTTCCACTGTGCCACGAAATTACTTTGCGAATTGATTGGACAAATGAGGTGAATACTTTGAATAAAAAACAAAGATGTCTTTGTTGAACTCAGAATCTCTCCGAAACGACTTATTTCGATTTTGATGTCACAGTTGAATGGATATTAAGTGAAGGCTTCAAACGTGTGGCTCTTCAATTCCCGGATCATTTACTTCGTTATGCATGCCGTTTGGCTGAAAAGTTCGAACTGCTAACAGGCGCTAAGACATTCATCCTTGCCGATACCTCATATCGAAGGTATGTGTTGGGTGTTTTAGCGGATAGAATTGAAGAATTTTTCGTTGTTGCCTTGGAAAGGAAATACTCTCAACTGAGTGTATTCCAGGCTAAATTGAACTTAATGTTACGATATTTTTAGTCATATTCGTATGATATTCTGAATGGAAGCACGTGAGTGTGACGAAACTTTCAGCGCATTAGAATCAGTTTCTGAAAACTGCTTTGATTGTTCAGTTCAAAAATTGATTTACTAGTACGAAACGAACTTGTGAATACTTTTACAGATTGAATTTGAGTCAAGTAATCTCTGAATATGAGAATATTCTCTTATTTGTTCAGTACTGATTTTTTGATAGAATTCATCGTAATGTTCAGTTGTTGTTGTGACTATGTGGCAGCGGAGCATGCGAGAGCAGATTGCTTGATCCACTACGGCGAGTCATGCCTTAGTCAAGCACCCAGCTCGGGCATTCCTGTTCGATACGTTTTCGGCCATTTACCCATTGATACGACTGCCCTTGGAGAGCATCTCAGCAAATATACTGCCAAGAACGATGAGCAATTTTCATCGAATTGTGTACTCGTCTATGATACTCTCTTTACCAGATCATCAGGTAGAGTGAAAGTTTTGATGTTGTATGGAATGACTCACATAAATCAATTTGTTGCTTTTGCAATAATGTTTTCTTTCAAAACAACAATTTCTATTCTATTCTCACATCAGTTCAGGTGATATTCTGAGTGTGTTATCAACGCATCTCCCGAATAAGCGAATTCATCACTGTGAAATCATTGATCCAACGAAATCGCCTTCACCAGCCAGTGAAGGTTGGTTACTGTTGTTGTTCTTTCTGCCAGGAACTGACAGCTGCTTCCAGTTTACTGCGGAGTATTTTAGATGTTTGATTTGGAAATATCTAAATAAAAGACTCATTTCTCAAATGGAACATCTCTTAGTGTTCACATAATTAAAATAAGGAGATAGAGAGCAGAAAAGAAACTCAACAAATGTTTCAGATATTTGTATTTTTCAGACGATCAAATGACAAAAATCACTTTGGGACGACGAGTGCCTGTAGATCTGTCCGAGTTAGATGAATTCACTTTAATATTCATTGGTCAAGAGGACAGTGCGATTTTGCCATTATGGCTTATGACATACCCGAATTGTACGAAAATGTTCTCTTACTCACCGATCACATTAGAGTCGTCATTTTCCAGGTGAATATCCACCACTCTCCATTGATTTTTGTGATCCACATGAAAAGCCTAATCAAATTCGCTTTTTATCAAGTTGTTATCTGCAGTTGCTCAACAAATCGATCGCTTCGTAAACGTTTATTTCTGATCGAAAAAATTCGAGATGCACGAATATTGGGTGTAGTCGTCGGGACTGTTGCAGTGAACGCATATCGAAGCGCTATTGAAAGACTGAGGCAATTGTGCAAGAACGTTTCCAAGAAACTGTACGTTCTCTCAGTTGGGAAGGTATATTTGTTTTGAGCAGTTTCTTTCTTCTAACTGAATTGTTCTTCTTTTTGTTAACAACCATATGTTAACAACCTCATCACCTAAACATGAATCGGATTTAGCGATTTCAGCTGGGATTTTCCGAATTTCAGGTGAATGTTGCAAAATTATCAAATTTCGCCACAGATATAGACGCCTTCATATTACTGTCTTGTCCGTTCGGTGTAATGTTGGAAACGTCAGAGTATTATCGTCCAGTTGTGAGTCTATTTGAAGCGGAAATCGCGTTGAACAGTGACAAGCAGTGGATGGCTACAGGCGGATGGACCGCTGAATTCAAGAACTTTATCTCAGGTTAGTCGTTTTCGCATTCGAATCGTGACATTTATTCGATAAACCTCAATGATTCGTGTGCAATGGGCATGTATGTGCCCGACCAATTGAGATGAATCACTAGAAATAATCACATCAAACGTGCGACAGGTGCAACACAAACAGCTACGAGATTAACAGGATAATCGATGTTTTACTTGATCATAAATACAGATTCGATCGGTGCAGAAAGTGATCCGAGCGCAGATGTCAGTCTCATAACGGGTCGAATCCGAACAATTGGCGGAACACAGCAAACAAACTCGACTGCCACCGATCAAAAGAATCACGCTGACTCCAGTCTGACAGTCTACACTGCAGGTTGGTTCCTTTGCACTTTTGTTTTTGTGGCCATTCCTTTTGTGCTAAATCGAAATCGTTGTCGATTTGATTGTTTGAAGTGTTCCCGTGCAAGCAAAGTTCTTGTCACATCGTAATCACTCGCAACGTGTTATTGCATCATAATATTCACGGTTTATTCGGTCATTTTCTGTTATCCTCACGGGTGTTAGAAGATTGTTGAGATTATGTTGATCATGAAATTTTGCCACTTCGTTAGTAGATAATTTTGTTCAGGTGATTATTTCGCGAATCGGACATGGAAGGGATTAAACGAGAGTTGCACAAGGGACGAGGACGAACAGAACAGTGTCGAGGTTGTTGAAGGTCGTGCAGGAATCGCTTCGTCGTATACAAATGAACCGAAGAAACAATGAAATTGTCGCTGAAAACTGTTTGATCATAAAACAAAATTGTTATTTGCATTATGAACTCATAATGTAAATATTAACACGCTAATATCATTTTATATGTATTGATGAGCCTGCTGTTATCATTATTCTTATCATTGCCTTTGCATTAATACTGTTGTATAACACTGATAATATCATTGTTGTTCATATTATTACTGTTATTAATATTATTGATATTATTCTCAGTGTTTATGGTTTTGTTATTACTCGTTTCGTTGTAATATTGTGTTGTTTGCTGCTTTCTTCATAATTTCAAAATAAATGTTCCACATTCACGACAAAACGATCTCTATCATAAAGAGCAGCATTGCAACGACATGAGAAAATCCTGAAACAATGGGAGATGTGAATGCAATTTCAACGGGAGCGATTGAATAACTCTAGAAGTTGGGGATCATTATTGAACAATATGGATGATTTGTCTTGATGCACATATCATGTTCTGAGAACGGTGGGGGAATAAGTTGCTGAAACATTCATGGAACAAGAAATAGAGTTCTTTAGCAAGGACACAATGAGCCATTCAGTATCGGAGGTGTTTGGCGGATATGGTTCACTTCAACCTGATATCCATGGATGATAACATTAGGAGCAGTGGTATCAAACTGACGCTTCTGATGGGCATTGCCAGCATAGGTACGGTTTATATGAACAAGAAGTCTTGTTCTATTAGATGGACAATATAAAATAGGATGATAGGGCGATTACACGAGGATTAATGTCAGCTGAGTGCAGTGCATATGGCAATCACTCAAAACTAGTTTTGATCTTTAAATCAAGCCGCTGCACGCATAAAAGCTGGTAGTACCATCATTTAGTATGTATGCCTTTAGTGAAAAATAGGTTACGTTCAAGTGAATGGACAGCAGAGAACAGCATGATGCTACGAAGAAATCCGAATGATTCTAAATTGAAATAGGTGAAAAATGGTGATCATGGTAACGGCCAGTGTATTTTACACACTGACAAGAACAGATACAATGAACTGAAATGAGTCAGAGTTTCTCCAAAAAACTTCAATATCACATGAAATAAGAGAATTCTCCACACCATTCATTCATCCTGATTCCAAAAACATATAATTTGTTGATCATTTCCGCTTAAATCACGAGATATAGAGATGTTCATAGATCTATCTCAAACAGCGCATCCGCTCTCATTCATATACGTCGTATTACAACAAATCAATCCATACAATACTATAGGGGTTACCATCATCCAGCTAACGGAGCTCTCAGGTTTGTCCAGGAACGCACGTATCAAACTGTCTAGCCATATAAAGAAATTCATCTGTAACAGGACCAAGCTGAGAGTACGTTAGGCTCGAAGATGGGAACCTCCAGAGTACTGAAAAAACAGCTACATCTCCTCATCAACCCATAACTGCTCGGCAAAAAATATGATACTCTGAAAGTAGAGATTCGGAGCAATCGAATGGTGCAATGAAATCACATGCTACCGGGCAAAGCTGAGAGTAACTTGAAGATCGTAACGCCTATAGCGGTACAATACAATTGATCTATACTGATACAATGTGTACGAACAAGCGCGTCTGCGCTAACTGATGTAGCTTTAGGAAAACAGCTATATCACAATAGAAATCGGTCGACAAAATATAATTTTGACTGAATGCATTCCTCGGCGAAATTTTAATTCATACAAAGCACAGATTTTGCTCGATGGAACGATGTACAAACATTAATATGTTACCGGGCAAACCTGAGAATACGGTAGCCTCGAATTTATCAAACCTATATTTCTATAGTGGTGTATAATACCCATTGATCTATAGTGATCAAATGCATATCAATGAGCACCTCACCGCTAGTTGAGATAGCTTTAACAAAATAGCTATATATCCTCAACTAAGCGAAATCGCCCAACAAAATATATATTTTTCTGAATCCAAAGATTCTCCTCGATCGACAGGTGTGAAGAAATTGATATGTTGCTGGTCAAAGCTGAGAGTACGGTAGGTTTAAATTTGCTAACACCTACAGGCATCATTTAAATAGTTATATCTCCTGGTAGAGGCAGAATTTCTTGGCGATATTTTCATTTTCAGAAAGCAGAGATTCTGCTCGACGGAACGATGCACAAACATTAATATGTTACAGGGCAAACCTGAGAAGACGGGAGCCTCGAATTTATCAAACCTATTTTTCTACAGTAATGTGTAATATGCATTGATCTATAGTGATCAAATGCATATCAATGAGCACCTCAGCGCCAGTTCAGAGAGCTTTAATCAAATAGCTATAGCTCCTCAACTAAGCGAAATCGCCCGACAAAATATATATTATTCTGAATGCAGAGATTCTGCTCGATCGACTGGTATGTAGAAATTGATATGTTACTGGTCAAAGCTGAGGGTACGGTAGGTTTGAATGTGCCAAGCCCTATAGCATCAGAAAAATAGCTATATCTCATCGCAGAGGCGGAATTTTCCAGTGAGCTTTTCATATTTAGAAAGCAGAGGTTCTGCCTGATCGATTGGTGGGAAGAAATTGATATGTTACCGGTCAAAGCTGAGAGTACGGTAAGTTTGAATGAGCTAACACCTAGGGGCATCATTTAAATAGTTATATCTCCTCGCAGAGGCGGAATTTTCCAG